TTAGTTTTACTTGCCTCTGTGCTGCACGCACTGTATAAATATATAATTTTATTAAAGTTCATATGGTTTCAACTGTAATTCAAATGCATCCCACGGGAGCAAGTCAGGGTCACACTGAACGTCTAAAAACAAAAAACTAGTCCCACAAAAAGAACCGTCGCAAACCATTGGAATCTTTAGCAGCTGTCCTTCAAAATCCAGCTTGCTGTTCATGTCATGTAAGGCAAGCAGCAACCTGAGGATGGTATAGCATACCAAAATGAAGAACGCTGCTGACTGCTGTATCTACTTCAACAGCTAATGTTGCTGACAACGCATATTGTGAACTTCGAAAGGGACGACGAACAAGATGCTGTGAAAACGTACATGCCTCCTCTTCGCTAGCGTCAGTTCAGTTCTGATCTGATGCATTAAGTATAACTCTAGCAAATCAAGGTTCAATACATTACAGCACTGGCCCGACGTTCCTAAAAACTAAGGGACCATTTTCCGAGCAACAGCTTCTTGGTATTCAAACATCTGCAGTGCAAGGAATATCCTACGTCATTTTAATGGCTAGCGGAATGTAGCGCTTGTACAACGATACATTCAGAGGGGATATATCATATATTTACTGCAATCATTAAGAATTACGGTTTGCAGGCGACAGCAAGCTTCTACGACTCCATTAAACCCATTTTTAGTGTGAACTGGTATAAGAACATCAACAAGACATCATGCCGTGAGTAATGGTCAGTTGCTGGGACAGCTAAAATGCATATTCTAACATGACAAAAGAGTGGAACTACACAAACGGGGTTTTGAGAATGCCGGATAACGATGGCCAGTAACGGGCGAACATATAAGCATCCCTTTGTCCTCAATGCTCTAAGTGAAATCAGAAGCAAAGGGTTCAAATGCGGTACGGATTAAACCTTTTCCGATAAAATTACTCATTCACCACAATCAATCAATATCTTACGGTCAAAAAACTATAACATTTTTCCTGAAACAAGCTGGAAAACAGGTAAACAAACGACGACATACGAAAGGTTCAGACTGTGCGGCAATTCGCTGATGTCATAATGCAGAACATGCCCATCTGCATGTGTGTCCTAAATGAACGCACTGTTCTAACACATACCACTTTTTTTAACCATAAACCCAAACTCACTTCGTTCATGGGATGTTGCTGGCAGAGAGAGGCACAAAAAACTACTCTGCTGTTCTACAAATGTAAGACTGCAGTCTCTTACCAATGGGAACGATGCGCTGAAGATTATAATCCGTAAAGAGGAATGAAGGCATGTTAGAGCAACGCTGCGATACAGCATTTTCTGCAACCTTAATCTTGAAGTGTTATCGCGCATTTTAACCATCTATTTTAACCATTGAATATGAGGTATTTCACCGGAAGAGATATGCTTGAGAAGATAAAGAGATCGCCTACCCCTGACTAGCATTTCCTCGTTAATCGACAGCTTCAGAGTTCATGACCGCTCTTTGTGATGAAAGAAGGAGTACACCACGCTACGCCTGACATGCCGCCTTTTAATTCGGCCATATCCTGTACTGTGCAACTCTTCGTAGGTAATGTAGAGGCTCCGAAGTTAAGACTCAAAAGACGCAAATGGGAATGAAATCGAAGAAAATCCTTCAATCAGCGACCACAAAAATACAATAAATCAATTTCTTAACGTAAGCGACGCACGCGGTTTATGCCAATATGCCAAAATTGACTAGTCGGTTTGCATCTCACATTTTCAGCGTAAACTTGCAATTATATTTGCCAGCAATCACTGACAGCAGACGATGCGTGTTGGCTAGACCAGAGGCACCCAAAGAAAGTATGATATAGAGCGAAACATCGACGACAGTGTTTAATTACTCTACTGACACTGCATTTCAAGTATCCTCAAACTATATATAATAAGTATAATGAGAGGAGTGCTACCTAATGGCAAACACATTACGTCAGATTGTTCAAAACTTCGTTTCAGGTCATCCCAACAAGTCTCTTACTTTGAGTTGCGCTAAAAGACTATTAATATCAGAACAATCTACTCAGTCCAGAAGTTGGGGACTCGTGAACGTTGATGGTAGAAAAAGCACAAGTGGAATATATCAAACAGGGATTAGTATCTGTTTCTCATCTGACGAAATAAAGAAACTGAAATCTCCACTCTTCAGTCTGCACTACGAATAACAAGCAGCATATCAACATCATGATTCGTAGTGTCATTCCTCACGATTTCGAGTCTTTACATTCTTACTTCTCCTACTACCAAGAGAAGCCCCGGCGAAGAAGGCGATAAAACACTAGGCAGATATGAAGTGTTGTCATTTATATTAAATGGACCTTGTAGCTGTGCGTGGAACACCTAATTACCGCAATTGCACTCGCGTCGTATCATGGATCGTTGTTTCATTGCGGACCTCACTGTATTTGCCTTCTGTATTCACTGTCTAGCTGCCAGCTGACTGTCTAATTTTCAATCTTCGCTGTGGTATACAGCATTTCGGTGACTAGCCCCTGTCTACGACATGAACAAAAGGCTAGTCCCTGTCAGAAAACTTACAAACGTTACACAAGGTTAAATCTAATTCAAATCAAATTTAGTCTAATAACAAAATCATGCATCCAACAGGTTAACGGCGCTTTCCTGGGATCAAGTCGTGCCATTACTGATAACCAATGAATAAAGATTCAGCTTCACTGCAATCAGGCGCGTCCATGTGTAACCAATACCGTTTATATAGGCACAACGTTTGAGTCTGTGCCCTCTGAAGTTCGGCGAATCGGCCTCTGGTAGGGCAGGCTAACAGTATCAGCAAGTTCTCAACCGACTCTCTCCCGTCAGCGCGAGTTTGCCCGATAAGCGATGGACAAAAACAAAAACGACAATGTTAACAGTGCAGCTGCGTACGACATATCGAGCAATTGTCTATCTCAGCGTACCACAGACCTGAAAAGAGACAGTGCGCAAAGATAGGAGGCAAGGTCAGAGCTAGATGACCTGTCTCGTCCGTCTGTTAGCTGCGTCAGTGAAAACCGTCTCTGCGCAGATGACCGTTCTGAAACGTCACTAAATCACTGCCCCACGACTAATCGCTTTCGATAATCACACGTCATACCACTGAAATAGCAGATGTGCGAGTAGCTGAGCAGACTCTGCATCTAGGCACTTCCACACCATGTTGAAAGTTCTACATAAACAAATCAGAAAGAAATTAGATGTTTACTGGGTTTGTTTACTCGCAACAAACAGATCAAAACTGACCCTCAGATAAAACTAAAGTTGGCCCTAATGGGCTTTGAATAAAGAACTTCAATCACGCGATAAATCTACCTATGCTGCTGACAAGTTATATCAGGTTTCTAAAGTCAGAACGCTGAAGAACCATGGCACAGCTTCATACATCTACGCAATGCTTCTTTCCGAGTAAATCAGAAGAGACGGTTACGCCGTTCGCTTGAACAGGGACATGAAACGAAGGTATTCTCGGTCGAGCAGTTGACTAAAAACCGTACGAAATGCAACCTGGGAAGAAAGACAGTCATACGACTCCTTTATCAACCGCTGAACTAACATAATTATAAATAAAGTGGAACCTCCTGCTTAAAACACAGCCATGATGTGGCGGTGGGCCTTGCGTGCTTCAATGACTCTTGAAACCATGCTAGCAGAAGGTTCGGCATCTGCTAGCGCTACCCATGCTGAACAAGTTTCAGGTCAAAGGCTAGAGCAAGTCTGTTCGACGGTCTATCCATCGTGGTAAAATATAATAACATTTCTGCACCAGACCGGTATTCCCTTAAATAACCAAATGCCGCACAGGCAGATGGGGAACAGAGGATAATTCAGCGACGGCTGCGTTGCGAACAAAGTCACTCAACGGTTCATTTGGAGGCTCCGAAAGTTATTTTCGACATCTTGCGGCAGCCAGGTTTCGAATTCATAGAGCAATGCCGATTGAATGCGAGTTTTGTAGAGCGGTAACTTCGTACGTTGCGATAGAGCGCTTGATGATCAGAAGGCGCGACACGTCATCAATGGCTGAAAGCAGTGCAGACGTAACACAGTACTTCGGATGTGCAACGTTAGAACGATTGCGATGTCTTCGTGAGGCACTGGAACTGTTCCATTCAGGCTCAGGCTCATCGAGATATCGTTGAAAGATCAAAGAATGTAAAAGAAACAGATCTGGGTAAGGAACGAAATACA